ACACTATCAAAAACCAGTCACGCATTCAACATGCTGTCTGTGGACAAATATAAAAGAACTATGATAGATAGCAACATCAACTAGCAAAAGCAGGAGATTCGTTAGTGCACTACAATCAATCTGCAGAAATAAGTAGTGCACGACAGTCTACCTGTATAAAGCAGCGAACAACTCAATCCATAAGCTGCTACAACACGCCACCGGATCCGCAACACCCTTGCAAGAGGACAGAAGGCGTTTATAAACATTTCAGAATACCCCTGCACATGCACTGTAGTTTGTATACACATAGGTACACAAAGGGGTAAATGTAATTAAAACCCGCATGGACCCCGACGAGCGTGTTATTAGTATACACGTGACGCTTAGGGATGCTGCGTGGGTCAATAAATCGAACCCAATCCTCCTAAATAATAGGAGTCGACAAGGTTCAGTAAATAATTACAAAATACCCTCAAACACCCGCATGGGCCCCGGCGAGCGTGTTATTAGAATACACGTGACATTTAGGGATGTTGCGCGGGTCAATAAATTCGAAACTGATCCTCCTAAGTAATAGAAGTCGACAATGTTCAAAAAATGATTACAAAATACCCCCAAACACCCCGATGATGGCCGTGTTGATTGCTTATCTCAATCGGAGGGGTTCACAAATATTTTCAAATGCCTTCCAAAAGTCCACTCAAAGTCCAAAATCCAAAGTTTCCAAACAAAATTCCAAATTCAAATATTTAAAACTGAAATCTAACCATACGCCACTTAAAAGTAAATTCATCCACCCTCCGCAACAGTTTGCCGAGGTGGACAAATTCAAAAACTACTTCAGCTCACAAAGAGCTAATGCCTAGTCGAAAATATCAATAGGATCTATTCTCAAACAATCTCCTGCCATTAAGGACGTGGTACGTGTCCTCTAACCGATGGTTTTGCCGCTAAATGGCACCGCAGGATAAACGGTTATGACCCGGGGCCCTCTGAACCGGGTGGTTTTGCCGCCAAATGGCACCACGAAATACCGGTTATGGTCAGAGCAAATACACTCCATAGTGGCATCAAATCCTTGAGATATGAATAAATAGGATATGATCGATAGGGCACAAAGCCCTCTGTTAGCTAAGGTGGATTCAAATTTATCCCCTTAGACAAATATTCACCCCAGGTCTACAAGGTACCCTTGGAAGAAGCAACCCATGGCTGCCGACAAGGATCCTTCTGTCAGGTTGGGTTGACTACCTCCTCTGACTAAGTAGACCAGGGACCACGAAGGCCCAGGACGACGGAACCATGGGATCTTGATCGGGTCTATCATCCATTCCCCCACCATCCGCTTTAAGTGCAAGATGGTGTCATTTCAAGTTTTAAATATCAATATTCCAACCTTCAAACTTCCAATACCCAATCTCCAATATTTAACTCGTGTTGCTACTATATGCCAGATAACACGTATCTCTACGTATCTAATCGACTAGCCTTAATCGAAAGTTCTCTCTCGTTATCGGGAGGGGTAATTAACTATAAGGGCTTGCGCCTATAGGAAACCAGAACTCAGATCATAAAGTCCTCGGGGCAAAATCTCTGGGTAGTGTCTTATCTACAAACCTATCTGCCTTCCAAAATTTACCCCGGAACTTACTCCGTTAAAACTCCCCTCGCCGAATAAAAAACAATCAGTGCGGGCGGAGGCCGGGGCCGAATTTTCAGAGCCCACAGGGAGTCATAGAGATGTAATACAAGTGCAAAGGCATGGTTGGTTGTAAAAACGATGGACTACAAGAAAATGCAAGCGAGTAGAATGTGCAATAGATGCGGCGAGGGCAAAAGATAGACGTTATTGTGGAGTGGGAAATTATTGCATGATCAATACGATGAGCTGGAAAAGCAAGCATGAGCAAAGCGAGGTTTATATGAGACACATTGCAATTGAGGTTGTGTAAGAGATTGCGAATGTGTGCGACAACTTGTCTAAATTCTATAGAGTAGTGCGAAGGATGTTCCTGACAAGGTTGTCGTTGTGGTCAATGATATCGAAGAGCTTATAGAGTATAAAGCTACAAATGATGTCAAATTTGACTAGAGAGACAGAGAGAGTTGAGCAGTAAATGCCGGATGCGATAGAGAAGTGGTCATAGAGGATGGGGAGATGAAGTCGGCCACCAAGAAACTTCAAAATAAGAGTTGGCAAAGTAGTCAACTAGACTATGATTCAAAGCAAATACTTAAAAAGAGGATGATTCACAACCATTAATGACAATAGAAAAGAAAGCCACATAGATTAAGATATTTTTGACAATAGAGCTCTATTATGACAAGAATTAAAATAAGAAAAGAAAATGAGAAGAATCAAAGATGAAAGTTGAATTGTTAGGCTCTGATTCCAATTGAAAAGCAAGGTAGCAAGAACAAAGATTGTGGTGGTTTTTCCATTTTTATTTTGAATTGTTAGAGCAAGGACGAATCCGGTATAAAAGAAGAACCAAGAAGACAAAATGAGAAGAGGATCAAAAGTTTTAAAGAATGAATGCCTAAAAGGAAGGGAGGCAGGGTATGGAAAGGAAGAATCATGAGAAAAATTTTGGAAGAGAATTAATCCCCATAGGAGAAGTGAAAAGAACACGATTCTATATTACATCAATATTGACTCTGGACCCTATTTTTAGAAACAAGTCTAGCTGAAAATAATAAAACTACTCCTAAGAAAATATTTAGAAAATTCAAACTAGTAATAAATCATAAATAACAGATTTAACCTTAACATAAAAGGACAGAACATAAAAGTTGTTAATTTTTTTACAAAATACAGAACAAAATTAATAACTAAGATTTTAAGGATCTTGCACTACAACAATAGTTCTAACTATTTTATGTCTCATTGAGTTATTCCTTTTCGCTTTAACTGTACAACGACAACATCAAGCCTTTATCCCACTATGTGGGGTCGGCTACATAAATCCTTTTTCTCCATTGTGTCATATTAAAAGTCAAATTCTCGTTTAAAGCGTATTTCCAAGTTTTTTATATGGGTGGACTTATCAATTTAATGCTGAAAACTTACCAGCTTTATCAGACATACAAACAAGTGGTTTAGAGTTGTATTTTTCAATTTAGTTAAATTTTGTTCAGTTCGAAATTCAAAAAGGTATGAGATGATTTGTTCACGGTTTCTAACTTTCCAGCTAGTCTTCTGCTAAAAATCTAGTCTTATTTAATTCTGTGAGCAGTTGATAATCTAACACATTAGCTAGTATACTTGCAACTATGATTACAATACCAAAATTTTGTGACAGTCTCCAGGTTAGTCAAAGAGAAGCTAAGATGCATATACAAAAACCTTGGAGTTCGCCAGTAAGAATGGGGAATCAAAATAGTGCACGTAAATGACAACCCTAACAAAAAAAAATGTTAAAGATCTGAACATCTAAAAATAGCAATATAAAATTGCCATTCATTATAAACAGCGTAATCATAAACTTCTTAGAAGTAGAGTCATAAAACTGAAAGAATGTATGGAAAGTTATTTAGTGAGAACAATAAATGAGAACTAGTAAAAGTAAAATATAAGATGCATCAGGACTTCATCAAGCCACATTAGAATGGGTTCGAATTTTCTTCAGGCTGCGTTATAATGGCTCTTGTACATTTCACAGGCAGAGAATAGCAAAGGGGCATCGTAACAGATTTCTAATCTAAGCAAAAGGAAACACAAAACGACATCCAAGTATCTTCATATAAAATGTGTAGACTATAAACACGGTAGACCGGTAGAGGTGTCAGTAAATGGCATGGAATGCATTGCTCTTAACTTTCAACAATATAAAGAACTATCATATGAAAGAACAACATAATGAAATGGTCAAAATGTGGAAGAAAGAATGTATTAGTGGTAAGTAATCTACCTATACATAACTAAAATGATATGCATGGAATGCATTGCTGGTTCAAAACAAGCGATTTGTGTTTAATGGCAACCAAATAATCTTAAGCAATTGGCAAACTAAATTCAATGGCTTCAACTAAGTTCTTAACCAGTAAGAACTTAACTTTATGAAATTAACTTCAAGATCAGCATTGTTTGATGGTACTCTAGATACATGTTTCCACAGTTCCGCTTTGAACTAGCAGAATAAATTGATGTGAAGACATAACTTATCATTATGTCCGCATAAATTAGTAGCATTAAGCATTATATTTATTTTAACCACGGCGCTTATGCTAGTGGGATCAAGGTTTGATGTTGTTGTTGTTGCTGCATTTTATGTTGATTATGGATAACCCTGAAATAAAGATTCATATGGCATCTCAAAGAAAAGAAAAAAAAAATCTATGGGGATTTGGATATATTTTCTTTTTTTAATGGAACTACTCACTAATTTTGTAGGATCCCAACTAGCTCCTTTCTAGAGTAGAAATTACCCCCAACAACCCTGACCTGGTCCCCATAATTCACTAAAATTATAATCAAATTCATTCTCAGACATGTCCGAACATTATGTGCGCAGTTTCGTAAATCTTTCAAAGCATTAATCATCCTAAATAATGCAACAGAGTAACTATTACAAAGACCTACTTTTGAGAAAGATAATAAGTTACCAGCCAGCATGATAAGGCAAAGAAAACGTAAATTGTTGCATAAACCTAAGCCTATATACTTTCTAATCCTTAAGATAAGTCCTTTGTTCATATCGGGGTAGATATCTAGTGTAGAAAAGGCGTGTCCAGATTAAGAATTTTAAGGAAGAGTTCAAGTTTGACAACAGAATTTAAAGTTGGAATAGTAAAGAGTAACGAATCTAATGTAGTTTTCAATCAAAAGAGATAGGCTTGAGACAAAAAGAGTTTGTAACCATAAACTTCAAAATAAGTAAACTACAGGCTGAATAGAAGTTCCTGCATCCTAAAAACTAAAATTAAATCACTTATATGAGTATCACCAGGAGAGATACATGTATAGTTTGCATAATAAAATGTTTTCAGTTGTCATTGTCAGAACAGAATTTACTTGCCTTGACGTAATTGTACCATTAACAAAAGCAAACTGTACATATTCATCTCCAGTAGCCATATTGGACCAATCAAAGTGAATCCTTCCCCCACCACCTCCACCCCCACCAGAAGGGCCACCATTTCCACCAGCTACTGATAAACTAGAACTTTTTTCAAGTACAAGTGTTTGAAGGAACAGAAGAATGGTTCCACCAGATCCACCACCGAACCCCCTCATCACAGATCCATTATAGTTGGTAGTTGCGTAACTTTGGCCATCCGCCTTCAATAATCCATGAATATCTAATCTGGACAAGGGCCACTTCATGGAACCCATAACTGCAGAATCCCATGTTCAATCATAAAGAAAATTTTTGAATGTGTAAACAGTAGGAAGATAAAGATGGCATTTAGAAGCAAATTCAGGAATAATACCAAATGCGATGAACAGCGAGGAAAAACTTTGATAAAAGTATCATTTAGATAATGAAGAAACATTTGAGTGGAAAATAACGAAATACAAGCTACCAAATCTGAACTAATCAGTGAACTGTAATAAATTATTTCTAACGTTGAATAAAATGTAATAGCAATGCTAAGCATAAATAGAATGATCTAACCGTACAAAGATGTAACAACAACGATTAACATGCTATAATCCCTAAATTCAGCCTATGTCCTACATGATCATCATCATCATCATTAGCCTTATCCCAACCATCTTCATAACAAAACCAAAACTGAAACAGAAGCATATGATATTCATAAGACCTAGGAAAAATTTCAGAGGGGATAACAACTTCAAGAGTAATAATAAAAGAGGCCTGCTATCAGTCCCCAACTTGCCATTTACCCCAAAAAAATTGCAATAAAGCTGGACCATGTTAAATGAGCCAGAAAAAGAAAACAATGAAATTCAAAACAATAATCATCAGCTGAGATAGTAAATATCAATTATATAACCTAAAATGGAATTTGATGGGTAAATAACGGCCAGAAAACAACAGAAATATTTTTTTTTTCTTTTGTATTACAAAGAAAACTTGTTTGAAAAGAATATTCATTATAAAAGCATGCCCAGTAATAAACCGTAGCAATTATGCTAAGAAATCAACAAGAACTCATCGTTAAATATAAATGCATCAACCATATCACCAAGACTGATATGAAAATTTCAAACCTATCATTCCACCACCAGCTGCACCATTTTCATTAAATCCATTGGATCCTCCACTTCCACTGCCCAACTCACATGGAAGGTCAGCATCGCCATATGCTTGGCCACCTTCAATTCGTGTTCCATTAGAGTACCCAGAGCCACCTTTTCCTCCATGCCCAGCACCTCCTCCCGCTCCATGTTTCAAATACTTCCCTTTACCGATGCCCTCTTTGCAACCTAAAACACAGCTCAAATCAGTTTGACTTCTGGTGTGGTATTGCAAAAGAAAGGGCAGCTGACCACACATAAAACCGGCAGGAGTAAACCAATTTAAATTTGTATTCCTAGAAGGGATTGAGGGAAATGGGTTAGGGGCAAGTCAGGGTTGCGAAAGAGAGTGAGTGTAGCTTAAGTCTCTAAGAGGTGGGCCAGGGCCGAGATACCTGAGGAAGGATAAAAACAGAGGGGGGACCTTTTGAGTTTGATTACAAATAAAAGCTTGAGATAGGTTTCACGCTTGATAACTTGGACTAAAGTAAAAGCAAAAGGGAGAATTATGCACTATTATTTTTCATCAGTTAAATGACTACAGTGAATTACCTAATCCTGTTCCACTTATCTCGCCATCAGTATGAATAACAACTGTTCTAGCCCTGTGGATGTGAATTATAGTCCCTCTCACTAAGCCATGAACAGTAAGGTCTTCAACACGACATATCTGCATATTTACAGTTATAATTGATGATAAGTCTCTTTACTAAAATAAATTAAAAAATCAATGAAATGAAAATAATTTAATAAACGAGAACAAATTGAGAGCCTGCGTGCGTGTGTTAATGGCAGGAGGCTCTCCAAAATTTAAGTGATACAGAGTCTTTAGCTATACATAAATTTTCAATTATTTTATTTAGAAGATGTGCATGGTTAAAACATAGTATTTAAATGCTTCCTATATATATACACTCAACACTAACACATACAGACCTTATCATTTTTTCATTAAGGTAAACAAAAACCTGACAGCAAAAAAAAGCAATAGTTGCTAGGAAGATGATCCACGTGACCAATAGAAGTCTTTTCAATAATATATTCTCGCATATCATTACCAATCAAATATTCTCTTACAACAACAATAACAACAAGTCTTTATCCCACTATATGGGGTCGCCTACATGAATTCTTTTTCGTCATTGTGTTATATCAAGAGTCAAATTCTCATCTAAATCTAATAATGAAAGGTCATTTCTAATTTTTCTAACCAAGTCTTTTTAGGTCTACCTTTATCTTTTTTAACATAAGTCAAATCTAATACATCTACTTTCCTAACTGGGTCATCGGAAGGCCGTTGTTTTATGTGACCAAATCATCTAAGGCGACTCTCTCTAATCTTATCTTCCACAGTCAAATATTCTCTTATGTGAAAATTATATCTGGTAACACAGTAAGCAACAAGGATTGCTGAACTCAAGATAAGGTGTTCAAATATTATTCAGGTCAAAATTAGAGCAACTTACTTGCAATGTCAAAGACAAGGAGTTGTTCACATGGCAGTCATCAGGAGGCATGAGTAGCTCTTTTGGGCACGTTTGACTCTCACAATGTGCTTGAGCAGCCCTGAGAAAGGCACATTTCAAGCTAATTGAGGCTGTTAAGAACGCATATATGAACAACTAAAACTTAGCAGTCAATATTTTGCATTTAATAAACAAATCAATAACTCACGAACTGCTTCCTATCTCATTATCTACTGGAGCTTGCAGCAAAGAGCCTGGCCCAACCTGCACAGTGAAATGAAAGATCATGCCTGCCGTGTAATCATAACAATGCATCAGTTTAGTCAGTCTGACACTGCTATGTATTTGGAACATAGCAAACTTGCTATCCATGATTTTGATGCACCAAATGAACCATTTTCACTGATTTAATTGGTCGACTGAAGAGAGCGTACTTTTGCTTTTAAACAAAAATCATTGGCTTGTACTAATTAGTTTTTAGTTAATCACAAGCTTGCCCCATAGATTTTCCTGAGCTCAATTTCTTTCATAGGAATCACAAGCATGCATTATTTTCTAACTAATTTAATGCATAACGGCAATCCATGATGTCAACAGCACTTCCACGTTAAAACATTGTGTTTTTTTCTTGCCAAATTCAATATGAATCACATAAGAGTTAGTAATCATGACAATTATGAGATCTTAATATCGGATAAAAAAGATGGTCATTCCCATTACAAATAAACCATTAAGTAAATGAATGCGTAAAAGGTACAAGTACCATAAAACCCTAACTTTAAATCAAATAAAGATAACCACAAGATGAACTCAAATTATCACCATATGTGCAAATTTCCTTCTAAGATAATATATCAAAATCTAATCTACTAATAAAATATATAAGCGCATGCACATATGTTTACATGTATATTACTGCACGCACTTCCCTAAGAAAAAAAGAAGTCCCCTCTACAAACCTTTTCACATGCATACACAGTCATAGGAACAAGCATGCACCTTAACGTATTGATATCCTCCATGAATTGATATATTCAGGCATACAACCTCAGTAACATAACATACATAAAAATAAAAAATAAAATAAAAACTATACACAAAGGTCCACACCTCAATATTATAAAATAGTGACAAGAACAGCCTCTGAGCTTCAATAACATCACCCGAGCCAGACAACTTCAGAAGTCCTTGACCATAAACACCCAAGTCTCCATTTGAAGAGATGACGGAATTTTGCTGTAGTAGAAACATACATTACTTTCATAGCAAAAAGAACCAGTAGAATTTCATACAACAAAAATTAAAGCAAATAAATTAACTTTAACAATCATACCCTTAGAACAATAAGATTTCTAGCTTCAAGCATGGACGCACCAACATCATGATTACCTCCATCATCAATCTGAATTTTAGAATCCCACATGAGAAGCATTTTGACATACATTCTGAAGGCACCATAAACCTGTTAAGACAAACAATCCAATGAGCAGGGGAGATGGGGAGCCAAGAAGCATGCAAGAGAGAGAGAGAGAGGTGGCAAGCCATCTTTCTAAGACCTCTCATCTCAAGGGACCAAAAGCATTTTCCAGTATGCATTCTCATTGGTTACTAAAGCAGTCGGGTACTTTTTTCAAACAATAAATGGTTCATAGCATTGGCAAAAACTGTACTAATCAGGCAAAGCGATTCAACTGCTGCAGAAAAAAATGATTTTTCAAGGAAGATACATGCCTTTATTATGGAGTCACTTATTAAAAGCTCTTCAGCAACCAGTTCAAATTCCGAAACTGGATAATCAGATAACCCAAAGCAAATGCTGCCACCATCAAGTAGTCTTATTTGACCTCTTACCTTGAAAGCAGAATTAGCACATAAATTTCTAAGTTAGAATGCTGCAACAGCATTTGACATTATTTCTAAAGATGAGTAAAATCACAAAAGAAGAGTCTGAACATGTAAGAAGTAAATCTGATTTGTTACTTTACAGGTAATTTAAACTCAATCACTTCAACCAAGAAAATGGAATAAATTTTACATATAAAATATTTAAAAGAGCCTAGCCGAAATCTAAATGAACAGACATAAAAATGGCACGGTTGTCAAAAGAGAGCTTTGAAGCAAGCTTTCGAAGAAAAGCTATGAAGTGGATCTACAGTGTTTCTCTATCATGAAATTTGCACTTGTTATGCAAAGCATGTGCATCACTGTGGTTCGCACAATGACGCAATAATTCCTTGCATGCTTCAATTGCGATCGCAAGCACAAGTGGGCAAGGGTGCAGGTGCAATGCAGTTCCATCTAGAGGTGCGTACTAGCAGCTAATGTATGATGGTTTGAACTAAATATAAGGAAGCTCGTGATAGGAAACACTTGAGTTCGCAAGTATTCCTAACCCAAACCAGTAAAATTACAGCAGCCAACTGCTGTCCACAGCAGCAAAACAGTAGAAAAACAGGGAAAACGCAGCAGGAAATTGGGAAACGAGGAGAAAAAAACACAAGATTTCGCTTGTATTTCACTAGAAATCAAAGAAAATAGAAAATATACAATTGATCCTCAATTCGAGAGGAGGATCGATCTCTCCCAAATCTCTGGCAATGCCAAGAGCCCAAAGAAAACCTAAATCTATGAGATCTCAAATTTCAGCCAAATTTAAGATGCCCAAACCCGAGGAAAAACATCTATTTAATGCATACAAATCAAAAGGAAATCCCAAAACAGTCCCTACATTCAAATTTCCCTCTCAAAACCCTAAAAAACGCTTCCTAAAAAGCTCTATTTGAGCGGACGGGCCGCCTGATCTCCGCAGGAGGCGGAGATCTCGCTGTTTTTGCGAACTGCCGGTCCCGCGTGGACCGGCTGGACCGGTCCAGTGGACCGGTCTAACAGCTCTCTGCTCCCTGAAAGAGGGATTGTGCGAGTAAGCAAGCGACATTGACGAAAATGGGATCCAACTATCACTTCACATGAGTGATATAGTAGGATGGATGGCTTACACACTTGTGAGTGGATGCATGATGGATCACAAGTCCGATATTGATAACGTGTGAGAGAAGGATAGGCTCAGGAGAGAGTTGATAGAAGTGAAGAGAGATTTAAAAAATAAATATAAAAAATTAATATAAATTATGAAATATAATAAATTATCATGAAATGGTTATATTTGGACTTGGATCAAGCTCCAATCCTTCATTTGTTTTAGGTTTAGTTAATTAAATGTTTATTATATATACAAAATGAAATGTTTACATGATATACAAGTCATAAGCACTTTAGGCAACAAAAGTATAGCTTCGCATTGAGCTTTGCACATAAACAAAGCACAGTGAAACAAAACATAAAGCTTGCACATCACATGCACTTTGGCTTTGAAAACACTAAGAAATGGTTAGCATTAAATAACTTTACAATGTTTTAAAAGTATGTGATGGGGACATCAGAACATGGAAGGTTTATCAGAGGCGTGGCCGCCAATTTACGGCCACGATCAAGTCATTGTATTTTTGATTTATTTATGTTGTTATGTTATTTTCTTATTTTTTCAGTGTCTTGTATCTGTTTTATGAGATTTCCAGTTGTACCCTTTTAGTGAGGGATGTCATATGTAAGCCCCGAGGGCATTTTCATCTTTTATTTCTTGAGTCTCATGTACTAAGGCTATTTATAGCCCCTTGTTTTATTTTTCAAGTAATGAATGATTGAATGAAAAAAAATTCTTCCTTGCATGAGTTCTTGTGAGAGCTTGGGAGTTTCATTGAAGAGAAATCCCTATGAGAGGGAGATCGTATCACCCACCAACCTTGGAGACAGCCGAGTTCGTGGTTTTCTTTCTTATCTTTCTTCCCTTCTCTTTCCACCACCACTACCGGACATCACTACATCAACTTCATCTCCAATCCCAAGCCATCGTATCCTCCTAACCAAGCTCCACAAATTTTTCCCCCATAAGCCGCCGGCCACCTTACCCGAAATCACTTCCAAACCGCCGGCCCTAGCTCCCAAACCGCCGGCCTCACCCACTCCCCTTCTCCCTTGAGTTTCCTAATTGGGCTGAGAATTAATTTAGGATAATTTTGAAATTCAAATCATTTGAATTTGAATTCAAAATCTTTACTAATTTAACTACTCTATTTTAGGAAAGTATTTACTTTAGATCTATTTTAAATTTTAAATTCATTTGGATTTAAAATAAAACTTTCCTATTTCCAAAACCTAAATTAAGACGCCTTAATTAATCTCACTAATTGCTCTCACCCTCATGCATGCCGCCGGCCCCCCTATCCCATTAAATCCTATTTATTTCTTTGCTAAAACCAAGTCTTTGCTTATTGGAAATAATTTCAAATTATTCTCATCCCTCCTTGGTCGAACCTCATAATCTCACACCTCCTTATTTCTTTCCAAAATCTGAATTTGATATTTGGAAAGTTAAATCCCTAATTTTCCCACCTTGCCACCGCCCTCCCCTCTCTCCCTTTCTTTTGGAAATATTTCAAATTCAAATTCCCCTCCTCTCCAAAATCTGAAATTATTACAGATTCTATTCCTCTCTCCAATCTCCTCCCTCTCTCATTAACTCTCCACCAGAATTTAGGATTTGATATTTTCTCTTCTAATTTCCTCTCCTCTACTTATAAAAATCTGGAACTTATTTCAGATTTTCGTCTTTGGCGCTTCCCTCCTTCAAGTTGCACGAGAAACTTCTTTCTCTTCAACAATATTCAAGAACACTATCAAGTCGTGAGGAGATTTGTCATCTAGCATCAATGAATGGCGGATCCAAAAATTGAATACGACCTAACCTACGACGATGATGGTTTCGTAGACATTCTCCAGTTAACTTTCTTTGACGTTAATACAAGGGTCGATCACACCGTTGAAGATTACATATAGCGTATTATGGACACTTAGGTGGAAGTAATCAAAGAGCAGCTTGAAGGCGTTGAGTGGAGGATCTCCATCGATCCTTGACGAAAGGTTATACTTTCCCCTTTCAACATATTTCTTGAGTCTAAATTTATCTTGTGTTTGATTGTAATCACGATGGACGCTTCCTCATGTCTCTGCTAAGCTTAGTAAACGTAGGGTTTTGAGTGTACTTCTTTGTTTACTAATTCTCATTGTTAGATTAGGGATTCTTATTGAAACTACTATTCTGGCATAACGTTGTTTATTAATTTATTTGGAAAGTTTCAAATCTCTGGTTATGTGATTTAGCCTAAGCGGGCGTGACCCCTTTCTTGTTTTAATTCGTTGTTTTAAATGCTAATAGTTTCTTCACTGTTGTTATAATCAATAGTTGTGCAAATTCTAAACAAAATCATTGCATCCTCACGTAGTCCTACATAAGTATGTGTTATGAAAGAAAAAAAATCTTATTCAAGATTATTTACCCCCAAAATTGAGGCCAATTATGTCTTCCAAATACCTTGATTAGTCTGATCAAAACCTTAAAGATTTCATTCAACCTACAATCAAAATGCACAATTAACCCTAACAACCACTATGAACCAGAGTTTGATCATGCATGATGTCAAAGAACAATATATTAATTGTGCATCGTCTACCAGAATGCATCGGATAAAGAGAACAATGCAACAAACACACAGACCCTTAACTAACTCTCTTGCAATATCGCACCCATGGATATTCCTCACTCTACTAAACCTGGTGAAGAATATAGATCAAACAAACTTCAGCCGCTCGAGATCCTTCAATCTCATTCTGCCCAAAGCACTAAACCTCTCATAATAATATATTTTCTCAAGAATGTGTCTCTAATAATATACTTTTCTTAAAATTTAAAAGTCATCATGATTCTAAATATATTCATATTTTCTCAAATGTTTAAACTATATGAACAGCGATAATCAAGATGTATTGAGATTGAAAACACTCTCATGAATGACTGTGTGAAGGTGGCATAAAGTTGAGTTACAAAATGAATGGCTCCTTCAATTGTTTGATAAGAATTAATGTAACCAATTCTACTAAGTAGGTAGTTTCTTATAAAGAATTCTTGAACAAAAACAAAAAGAAACTGTCCCCAAACTTATCAAAAATAATAATAATAAATAAATACATACCTTTTGAAAGTTATATTGATTTGAAGCATTACAAGTGCAATATATTGACCTTCTACTAAACAACACAAGATAAAATAGACTTCGGGGAATACTCCGAGTACTTTAGTTCGGCCAAAAAAAAATATTATACAACTCCAAATAATTTGAAAGGCATTCGAAGAGTAGACACATATTATGGGCATACTTAGCATCCATAAGCAAAGCACAAACATTGATAATGGCATCAACAAAGTCATGAAAATGTTGATGCATTAAAATATGTGCAAATACACTCTCAAATTCTAAATAATCTTAGTTCAACACAAAGGTTCTAGATATTTTTTAGGATAACGTAAGAGGACTATAATGTCATGTCATTGGAAAAAACTAAATTATTACAATACAAGCATGGTTATAATGCAAATACATTGCATATCATCTCAATTGACCAAGCAAATACATGGACACAAGTTTGATCATGTAACCTCTCAATTAATACAAGGGTATTGCTAAGTCATCATCTTAATATACACATTAAAATATGTGATATGTCAAAAAAATAAATGTCAAACCAAGTTAATTAAATAGATTGTCTTGCATGACAAAATTGTAAGACCCACCATATGGGCCACCTCGCTTATAAGACAAGATCACAAGACCAATTATTGAGCAGATTCTAATATCTAAGTCATAAGCCATACATGCAATCATGAAAAAAAGTCAAGATTAATAGACCTAACCCTCTGGGAAACTTGCAAATAGAATATTACATCATAATGTTCAAATTAAGTTACTTCCAAGGACCAAGCACAAGTAAAGAACTTAAACGAAATAATAGACCTACAAAATGATGTAAGCCCAATTTTAACCCAATTAATCAAGTTGTCTTACCCATAAGGAAATGTATTGCGGTCCATAATTTGAGTCATCTTTTTTACGGGAAGATCATAAGAACCATCATTATAGCTCATTTTAAATAAAGATCATTAAGCCTCATGATGAAACCACTTAAACCTAAGGCCATAAGTCCCAATCTATGCTCCCTAAAAGATAGAGTTGTATATCCTAATACACCTATAGAAGTTTTGAAGGATAAATTAAAAAAAAATTCTCCACTTGTCCTACAAAAGAACGTTTGTTGTGACATAATTAGCAGGGAAACAAAAAAGCTAATAAGCTCATCAAACTAAATAAATTGGATTATCAAGCGTATAGAGCAGTATTGTAACTTATAAGACCTATTATAAGGAACACCTTACTCATAGGGCAATGTCATAAAGGCGCATTACCAGGCTTTCTTAATCCACAAGGTTATTAGTCTCAATAATGGAAGTTCCAATGGATGTGGCTTGATCAATTTGGGTTGACATAAAGAGAGCAAACACATTAAATTAAATATTAGGCTTTCCAAAAGATGCAAGCCCAAACTCAACCTAAAATCGAACCAACTCACAAGATAAAAAACCCATCAATCAAAATCAAATCCACCAATCAAAACCAAGCAAACAAGATCTCACATGTGTCTTAGGCATGCTTTTCGAGCCAAGCTAAAACTAATGAATATTTGATGGTCATGCGATGCCTCAAAGCTCTTGTATGTTATGTTCAATACCTTTGAATCATAAGTCATGATGCTTTGTACCTCTAAACTATTCGATGATATTCGCTAGAATAATTTTCATAGTCCAATGAACTGTCAATGATAATAATAGTCAACCTGTCATAACCATAAATCAATCCTAAGTCTATAGATTTAGTCTACTTAGTTGGTTATAAGTATTAAACTAGATGAAAATGTATGCAAGTTAATATGAATGTTAAATGATTAATCTCATTAACCAAAAAAGCAAATGGTTGAATATGATTCAAAAATTTATAAGTATGTATCTAAGTATTAAGGGATGATCCAAATACTCAAAGCGCACAGCTAATAAATGTCTAAGTGCAACTTGATAAAGCAAAAGGAGTCCTTAGTGGATGTGACCCATTAGACGAGAAGTTGACTTGTGCAAGTGCACGTCAACTGATAATTTATTCAAGTGCGTGAAATAAAGCATCTCTTCTACACAAATTTATTTTCACCTTGATCTGCTTGAGATACATAAGAAAAAGGCAACTCACGATTATTAATCAAGTTCCCTAGATGTTACAGCTTACAGCCTCTTGCATTGACAAATTGGATATACTAGCATACTCCAGATAGCAATAACAGGAAATCTTGATCAAGCCTTCCATCACTCCCCAATCATTTCTCATAAATTAAATCCAAAAGCAAGCCTAAGATTCCTCAATCAAGAGAGTTCTCTGGTGAGTAAAAAGGATAATTAATCATGGGGCTTTAAGCATATAGAAAGACCCTCAATTCTAAATAAATCTTAACATAACATTAAGGAAAATCTAGTTAAGACAAATCTAATCTTCCTCAAATAACGCTACTCCCAAGTTATCTCTCATGCACATCTAGCAGGCCCATAGGGAATGTTTTGGCTTTTCCTGAGCAATCAAATATAAAATAAAATGGTATGAATTTCAAAAAAATAATAATAATGACTTTAATACTTCACATCCATACCTATAATTTACCTCAATTATCTTAACAGAAAAAGAAACTAACTCTAAAAGAAGAACAATATTTTAAAGATGATAGCAAGTTCTCAGTGAAATTGTAAGTGTTTGGGAGTAAACTAAAATAATAATGTATTGTAAACAAGTGTCAAGTAAAGGTGATGAGTACCAAGATAGTTATTCAATATCTACAAACTAGAATTTCTCATTAAAGTAAATCTCACACAGTTGAACCGTTAATTATAATTGATACCAATAATTATTTCAACACTTTAAGCTGACGGACTGCACAAAATAACACAAGCCCTCAAAACCACTATACAGAATTCTTCTTAACAAGTTCTCTTGCATTTTAGTGTTAAGGAATTCTTTCATTTCGAGTAATATTTCACCATTAAGGAGATTGGCTTTGCACTTGAGCCACTGCAAAAATTCAGAAGCAATTTTGCTTATAAAACATAGCTTACACATCACAAAATATCTCTACTAAAACCAACGAAAATACTTCTACATCCCTAGTCATTCTCCAAGCAGCAGCCACAATCAAAAAGGAAACAAATGTTGTTTGATGAGATTAGTTCCATCATTGCGATGGCCCAAAGGCTAATAGAATGCCATTTGATCTCACTATCACAGTTTCAATTATAATTATTTAATCAGCATTTTTTTTTTAAGTCAGCTGTAGCTAGAGGTCAATAGTAGCCAAACAAACAATGCACAAATATAAGTGATAGCAGATGATTTTTCCATGCCACCATAGACCAAGATCCAAAGGGATCAAACAAAATATCTAAAGCACGGGCCTGCAATCCAATTGAGACACGCAACAGACAATCAAGCAGACAAAATAATGGGATAAAGTTTGATTTCATACTAGTAACAGACTCTCAACAATAACTACACTTTTAAAGTTCAACTAACGCTGAAGAAGTATCCCAGCGTGTTGAATTGAAACTAATTTCCCTTTCAAAGTAAAGATAGAAAGAAAACATAATAATATGATGCTTTTATGGTCATTAGTGTTACCAAAAAAACAGATGTAAAGGCACTTGAGATCACAGGGTTTAGTCTCATATCAACTAGTTTTAAAACAATTTTGATCAAGGTCTACCAAGTGCAACATTGGCACCCAAGTGTTGCAGACTCCCTACAAAATGGTAACAATGCCAAATTTTGACAGAGTTTTGTGGATGCTATTAGACAGTCACATTGTCTATGGCCTTCAAACAGTTTTGTAATGGTTAAGCAAGTTTGAGTGACTCCCACATTGGCTTCAATAGTAAGTGTTAAGTTATTCCAACTTGGATTTATAACACTCTAGATACAGGAAAATTTATAATTTGAGAACTCGAGAGGAAGAAATGCCACAACAAAGAGCTCTTATATGATACAAATATATATATTATGAATTATGAGAGTATTGGATTTAAAATCATATATGATGATTTTCAAATATATTGTTGTTGATATTCTAATGGTCGGCCATCTCATATGTTGGTTGGCAATGGAAATGTATTATTCAAGTAAATGATCAAAACAGTACCTATACTTTCAAAAGTGTTCATTTTAGTCCTAAACTTTTCCAAATGTTCAATTTAGTGCATCAACCAACCCAATTTAAATCAAATTGACCATACCTTCAACTTTGCCATTTCTTTGAAAGGAATTTGATGGAGGGAAGCTTTCCATGAGAGCATTTTAATTTTTTTTAAGATCTATTACAATAATTTGAGCTAGTATTAAGCAGTGAGATTGACCCAAAAAATTCAAAATGCCCTCATTAAAAGTTTCAATTGACCAATTTCTATCCAAAGAAACAATAAAGTTAACAACACGACCAATTTCAATCCACCAAATATGTTTTTCTAATATAATTAAAGAAAAAAACGTGTTCAACATCTTATCTTAAGCTTATTTTTTGGATGGATTCTCATCAGAAAAAATTGTTTTTTTAAGTTATATCACGAAATGACGATATATATATATATATATATATTATATCACGAAATGACGATATATATATATATATATATATTCAGATAAGCATCCAAAATTATACAATGATAAAATTTGATCCAAAATTAATTAATTCATGTAATCATTTCACTTTCTTGTTATAACTCTGTAATATTGTAACCGTTTAGTTTTTCTATTTAATGAGAAGGAATTTCATCAACTATTCAGTAAAAAAAAATGTTTTGCTTTCAAATAGTCTTAAAATTTTGGATGAAAAAAAAAAAAAATTTAAGTGCTTCAAATGCATCATTGGTCCCAAAATGATCCACTCTTAACAACTGATAATACAAAGCACCATTGTCTCCATCATCCCTTCACCCCCTATCCCAATTGAAAAAATAAATAAATAAATTGCGACACATAAAGATCAATGCAAATTTCTTGGTAAATAATGTGTAATATAAAAAATAAAATAAAAAGGCAAGAAAAATTACAACCTGCACCCTTGTCCAAAGCAAAGGAACCAGAGCTTTTGCATTACACTCCACATAAACGTTGGACCAGAGCTGAGCTGTTGGAAAATCCAATAATGGTGTCTCCGTACGTGTTGTGTAATTGTCATTGCTTACTTTAAGACTGTGTAAAGTTCTATCAAAAATTGTACCAGCTGCACCTGCATTCTCCGGGCATCCAACACTCTGCCCACCTGTTTGATTCAAAAAGGTATATGATAAAAAATTAAGTTGTGAAATGCAAATGATATTAAGCCATGCATACATGCAGAGAGGTAATCATAAGGCAAACATGCATAAGAGATATTTAATAGACAAAAGGTAGCACCCAATGAGGATAAATTTTTTGAAGTATATGAAGTACATGAATGGTCAAAGAAAGTAACGTAGCAGAAAGAACATTTGAACATATAAAGAAGTAAAACATATACAAAAATCTGTCACTTATCTTATGGGCGGTGAAGATTTTCTATTTAAGGTGCAGATAACGGCATTGATGAAACAGCTTGTAGAGCATGAATTAAAAAAAAACAATAAATAGATCATTATTGAAACATCATTACCCAATACAGGAAAGTAATTCCAACAACAACAAGCCTTTATCCCACCATGGGGTCGGCTACAAGAATCATTCATGTTAAGAGTCAAGTTTTCATCTAAATCTAATAAAGAAAAGTCATTTCTAATATTTTCTAACCAAATCTTTTTAGGTCTACCTCTACCTTTCTTAACATAAGTCAAATCTAATACATCTAGTTTTCTAACCGGGACATCGGAAGGCTGTCGTTTTATGCAACCAAACCATCTAAGGCTACACTCTCTAATCTTATCTTCCACTAGAGCTACTCCAACTTTTTCACGTATATGCTCATTTTGTATCCTTTCTCTAAGAGTAAAGCCACTCATCCATCTAAGTAAGCATCCTCATCTCTGCAACACTTAACTTAATAAGTTAATATTATGCAAGGTCCCAAATTCTGGATGAGAAAAGTGGAGGAATGTGTTAGGTAGTCGACAGCCAGCGTAAAACTTGTTAAATAATCAAGACATAAAAGTAATTCCAATAGCTTAAAATTGGAAGGATTCATCAAGAGAAATGATTTTGAGAGAATAAAAGACACAATAAGAAAATAATTCACTAATGTTCATAATACTAATTGTTGACCACTATTATGTGCTTTACGATCAATTTGAGTGTGTCCGAAAAGAACGACCTAGCCATTAACTCTCTCCCTGAGCCGCCACCGCCGCCTCGTGCCCATGGCCGACACCATTGTTGGCCTTCCCTCCTACTTCCTTCCACCCATCCCAAGTCCAAGTCATTGGCCTCCACCTTTCCCTCCCTCTTCCTCTCACAACCTCTCTCTTACTCTCCCTCTCTCACTCTCTTCCTCAAGCTCTCCCATTTCTCTCTCTAAAGAATGCGAGGGAACAAAAAAACTCTCCATCTTTCTCTCCCACAAAGATCTCTCTTTTCCTCTCTCCAACCCAACCCCCATCTTTCTTTCACCCTAACTTTCTTCAAATGATATGCAATGACACATTAAATAATCGAGGCCAAAATCACCCACACATGCTCTGACAAATATGCTTAACATTCGAACATAAAGATCAGGCTCAAGAATAAATTTGATGTGAAACTAAATGCGAAAGCAAGAATTGCACTTTAGAGATTAATAAAAGGTTATTAATTTCTCATACTAGCAATAAAGTCTAGCTTACTCAAGTAGAGTTCAAGAAAATGTCATGAAAGATTAAACCATAGTAATTGATTACACTTAGAGATTACAAGAACTTGCAAAAGAACAACTGAAGATTTTAAATAATGCAAATAGCTAATTATAACAAAGCCTTACGTTTAAAATATAGATCCTTTGATGAGGACATCGACAGGCGCTACCGACATGTTTATCGCCGGCGAAACCACAGATCGACGGCCACGATTCAGCGCCTTTACTTTTGATTTTGATGTCATGATGTATTTTATTCTTGTCTTGTTTACTTCTTTTTTTTTCCCATTTTACCCCTGTGGGGAGTTATCTTATCATTGTAGCCCAGAGGGCAATTTAGTACTTTCGCTCTGTATGAGTTGAGACCTATATATAGTGGTCTCTTGTATCATTTTGAGCTTAATGAATATTTGAATCAAATTTTGTGTTATCTTCTTCTTCTTGCATGAGAGCTAGAGAAGGGAGAGAGAGCTCAAGGGGAGCAAATCGCAAGGCCCACCAGCCGTTGGAAGAGTCCTCGACTCGTGGTTTTTTCTTTGTTTTCATCTTCTCCACATCCTCCCTCACCCCCACCCGACGGCATCCACAGCACCACCACCATCCAAGTTCAACATCACATTTGGTTCATAAGCCTTCTTCCCAAACCATCAAAACTAGCTCCCTACTTCACCCAAGGCCGAGGCCGAATTTTCGGAGCCCACAAATATAAATAAAATGAAAATGTTTGCATCTTAACTGGTACGATATTAGATAGTGCCCTGAAATAAATAACATTTTAAAAATTATAATCTAACAATTACAATATCAAAGAATACTTTCATATAAAATGACTTTTATCTTATTATTACTCATATTTAAATTCCATTAACAAAAAAGTTTAATGATTAATCAAGATAATTCATATGCATATTATTTTTATGAATTGTTATATTAAAAAACTGTAATTAACCATTGAGTTGATGATGGAAACTCAACTAATTAAATTAAATATTTCAAGTAAAGCTCTTATTGAATAAATGTCTGACAGAAAAGGGTTATGTGCACAAACGACAAGAATCGAACAAAAATATGTATGAATTGATGTATAAACTTGTGATGGATAATTAGTGGCTCTTTCTAAAATTTTTAAATATTATTTTATTAATAATTTTAATTGTTGTTGGAAGAAATTAAAGTACCGTATGATTGTTGTTCCGAATTGGTAGTCCAAGTACGTTGGCCAATTCATGATAATCTAATCCAAAATAAAATGCGATAGTACAAAGGAAAGGTCATGGATAATTAGTGGCTCTTTCTAAAATTTTTAAATATTATTTCATTAATAATTTTAATTGTTGTTGGAAGAAATTAAAGTACCGTATGATTGTTGTTCTGAACTTGGTATACCAAGTACTTTGGCCAATTCATGATAATCTAATCCAAAATAAAATGCGACATTACAAAGGAAAGATCATGGAAAAAAGTTCACAATAGTAAAAGGTAATGTCGACCTACGCATGTGTTTCTTGATCAACTCAAGAAAGCACGATGTAAAAAATGTCCAACTAGGGTGATATTGCATGAAATAGATTCGAAATACATCAACCATGATTGAAATCACCCAAGCGTTGCTCATTGGGAAAATGGACTACGCTAACCTGTTAAATCACCATAGGAGGACGACAATGATCAATCTGATTGAACATAGATTATGGACTATAATAACATAAAAAAAAAAAGTTGCCCGAACATCGTCCACTAGTAAACTAGATTGTGTCAAAGCATCTGAAATGCCAAATTTACTAAACAAAGGACCTCTAGAATGCACTTCGATCAAACACGATGAAAATAGCATACTCCGTACGCAATGTCGTGTGAAGATTGCCCAAACATAACTCGTTCGTGATACGAACCATCTCAACATGTGCAAAATGTCAAAATTACCCAAAAAAAGACATTGCCAAGGCTGCCACACAGGCTAAATGCAAAATTTGCCCGCATGTGAAGCAATGTGACATATCCTCTAAAAGGTGATCTTGCCAACAAAAGACACAAGTAAATAATTATAATCGAGGAGATCTTTCAGGTTGATTTCACAGTAAAATAATATCATTAAATAACAATCTTGATTAAAACCTGCAAATTTCCCAATGTCTAAAAGAACCATTAAGTATAAATTATCGAGTACACCTCATAAGGCACAAAACCCGTTGTTAGTTAAGAATGACTCAAGTTTTCCCTTAAGGAAAATATACACCACAATTCTATGAGGTTTCCATGAATGAAAAAATCCATAACCACTAAAAAGGATTCTTTAATCACGTTTGGCCAATAATCTTCATTAATTAAGTAGATCAGGGATTATGACAACCCGAGATAATAGAACTACAGGATAATAATTAGGTTTGTCATCATTCCCTTGACCATCCACTTTAAATTTAAAATGGTAAATTTCCAATCCTATATTAAATTTGTTGCTATTATATGCTAAGCACTGAGCTTCTAACGACTAATGTTAGTTGAAAATTCTCTCTCATCACCTAAAGAACAAAATAACAATAGGGGCTTACACATATGAGAAATTTGAAACTAAATTATAAAGTCAACTCAAAATGAGAGTAAACTTTTTGGGTGTTTTCTTATCTTCAATCTAATCTACATTCTAAAAATTTTCCCTATAAACATCAAAACTCTCACTAGGGCCGGAGCGAGAATTTTCGGAGCCAATAGAATGGATACCAAAATGTTACGTGAAGGATATCATATATAGACATATGAGCAGCCAGTAACTTAAGGAAAAAATAATACTAAAAAATGTATTAACACAGGCATGAACTGAGGGGAAGAAATACCTTAGATGTAACTAAAAAAGAAGGCCACTGTGGAGAATCACCCACCGCAAATGATATGTAAGCAAACATTACAAGATAACTGACCTGATCCAAGAAGGTCAAATCATAAGTTAAAATAAACAAAATTAATGCAGCAGGCACAAGAAATGCTTCGTGTTGAAAAATAGATACTAACCAATATGGTTACCACATCAGCAGAACTTTCCCTTTCTAGTTCATCTTGGATAGAGCTTTCTGATGAAAAAGAAAGCGTAAGGTTTTGTGGTTCTACCAAAGGCACCAGCTCTTCCTGCCAAGGAGGATTAAGAAATATTTTGAGGAGAGTACATTTGTAAAGTGGGATAAATAGAACCCATACAAAAATTCACCATTAATTTGTGTGCTAATAATGCTGTACAAGAACAAAAAGGAAATTTGTGTACAAATACCTCAAACACAAACAGACTTAACTAAACCTTTTTACAAATTACTTGCAAACTACCTTAGTTAAATAAATCAAAGATTATTAGTATAATCCGCTAACTTCAACATTGACCAATTATCCCTTTCATTTTCATCACCATCTCTCATTTTACATAACACCAAGGGCAGTAGAACCGTTACATATGGTACAGGGCTGTCCATGACAGAGCACTGAATCAGAGGCTTGTTTGCAAACTCATACAATACACCCACTCATTAGCTTTCACGAAAACTTGGTTAGCCAATTCATGAATCACCCTACTGATGAGCACATGGATGTTGTTTGGATGATACGATACCTAAAAATAACTCCAAAAAAAAAAGCATTATTCTTCCAGAAAATCACAAACAGGAACATATAAATTTTCATTAATGTTCATTGGGCATGGTGAATGACTGACTGCAGATCTACCACAGGCCATTATACATTCATATGTGATTTTTCAAGGAATTTGATTAAAATGATTAACCAATGAGAGGCTATCTCAAAAGAAGAACCCAAGAGTATGCGACAACCAGGTTACAATAAATATTGTAAAAAACTTATTCAACAATACAGAACTAAGAATGCGGAAGTTTACTGTTACTTCATAAAGAAAGGGCTGATCATGGGAATATTTCTTTCTTTACACCCTGAAAGATCTACAAAATTTTGACATCCAAATAAAGGATTCTCAAGAAGTAACTTCGACAACAAAATCACCAAACTGGGAATGCTAAACATTTACCACCCATCTGTTATGCCGCCGGCCCAAGAGGGGCCGGCTGGACCGGTCCAGCATGGACCGGTCCTCTTTAACTCCAGGCGGCTCAATCTTGGCGGAAATCAAAGCAGGAAAAGGGGGGAGGCAGCCCTTGTGGGCCCAAGCAATTAATGTAATGAGCTTTAAGAGGGAAAATTTGAATTAAGGGGCTGTTTAGGGATTTCTAATTAGTCCTTTTTGCTTTAGTTAGGAGTTAAGGTGTGAGTTAGGGTTTCAACCGGAAGAAGATCTTTGTGATCCGTGGGAAGAGAGATGGCCGGGAAGAAGGTAGAGGTCTTGGAAGGCGAGATCGGTCAACTAAAATCAAATTTGGAGGGAAAGTTCTTTGACTTTCAAACTCAAATCACCTCCAACAATGAAAGGATAGAGGGGAAATTCACGGTGATTGAAGAAATGTTGAAGAAACTGTTGGAGTTGAAGACAAATCCTACAACATCGGAAGCAAGAGAGACCACCAGAGGCCAGAGTGTAGGAGGGAATCTAAACCCGTTTAGGGGGAGGAGAAATCCGGAAGTGGAGGTCATTGAGGGGGAGGATGACATGCCACCTCTAGAGCCACTCTCTAGAGAGGAGATGAGTTTGGGAAATGACCGGAGAGGTGCTGATTTCGTCAGGAGAATGGAAGAATTTCATCGCCGAGGCGCTGATTTTGAAGGGAGAAGAAGGGAATACGATGAAGGGTTCAGGTATAATCACCGAAGGGAAGATCGTGACAGTTGGGGAGCACCTCCTTTTCGAGGAATGGGAGATTATGAAGGATTCAGGGGACACGGGGGAGACCCATGGGTGGGGAAACTAAATATGCCCATCTTTGAGGGTGAAGACGGCCATGGCTAGATTTACAAGGTGGAACGTTACTTTGCTGTCAACGGGTTGACAGACGAAGAGAAGCTGGCGGCGGCGGGATTGTGTTTGGAAGGAAAAGCCTTGGCATTATATCAGTGGCGTGATAGGAGGGAGCCCATCCGGAGCTGGAGAGAATTCAAAGATTGCTTATTAGAGCATTTCTGAGCCGATGAGGGAGGAGACTTCTATGAGCAATTCTTTGCCTTGACTCAGGAGGGGACTGTGGCAGATTACCGGGACAGGTTTGAGTACTTGGCTAGCAGATTGGAGCAAATTTCATAGTTAGCCCTAGAAGAGAACTTCATGAAGGGGCTTAAACCTGAGATACGAATAGCAGTCAGGGTGCTGGAGCCGAGGAGCCTAGGGAAGGCTATGGAGCTGGCACAGTTGGTGGAAGATCAGAAAAAATCAGAAAGAGGAGCTCGAGGGAACTATTTAGGGGGATCATACAAGATGACTACCACCTTCCTACCATCAAAAGGGGCAGCGCCAGGGAGTCTGAAGGAAGCCCCAAAGGAGAAAACTATAGGGGGAAATGGGGGACAATTCAAAAAGATGACAGAGAAGGAAATGCAAGACAAGAGGGCAAAGGAGTTGTGCTTTAGATGTGATAAGAAGTACATGCCGGGGAATAGGTGCAAGGACCGAACTCTTCAGGTTCTCCTTGTCTGTGAAGATGAGAAAGATGAAGAGGGAGGTGGGAGCAGATCTGAAGAGGAGGAGAAGCTGCACCTGGATGTGGCAGAAGTCTCTCTGAACTCTATAGTGGGATTCACTCCGAGTCACACTATGAAAGTGAAAGGAGAGATAGCTGACCGTGAGGTGCTGGTCTTGATAGATAGTAGGGCAACCCACAATTTCATTTTCACCCAAATTGTTGAGCTGCTTAGGATGGAGTTAGTGGATACTGGAGACTATGGGGTGATGATGGGCACGGGGAAGGTGGAAATGGGTAGAGCAGTTTGTAGAGGGGTGGTGCTGAAGATTCAGGGATCCAGGTGAGGGAGGACTTCCTTCCCTTGGAATTGGGGAGCACTGACGTCATCCTGAGGATGAAGTGGCTACAGACATTGGGGGAGACCAAGATCAATTGGGGTACACTGACGATGGAGCCGGTGATGGGGGGAAGAAGGAGGGTGATCCATGCTGATGCGAGGCTGACCAAGACTGAGGTTTCTCTCAAATCCCTAATCAAAACCATTCAGGAGGAGGGAGGAGGCTACTTGGTGGAGTTGCACCGCCTGGAAGGGGGTCAAATTAGAGGAAGAATGCAAGGTCCCATCTTCAGTGCAGCCGCTCATACACCAGTTCAACGAGGTTTTTCAACCTCCCTAGGGTTTACCTCCTCAAAGAGAGTTGGAGCACACCATTACTTTGAAGGAAGGGGAGACACCGATCAGCGTCCGCCCTTACCATTACCCACAGATTCAGAAAGATGAGATTGAAAAGTTGATCAGGAAAATGCTAGAGGCAGGGATCATCCGACCAAGAGTTAGCCATTTTTCTAGCCTAGTTCTCTTGGTCAAGAAGAAGGATGGCAGTTGGAGATTCTGCGTGGACTACAGGGCTCTGAATAGGGGTACTGTACCAAACAAGTTCCCAATTTCGATGATCGATGAGCTACTGGACGAGCTATATGGGGCAGTGATGTTTTCCAAGCTGGACTTAAAATACGGATACCACCAGATCAGAATGAGGGAGGCAGATGTTCCAAAGACAGCCTTTAGGACACATGAAGTGCATTATGAATTTATGGTAATGCCCTTTGGATTGACTAACGCTCCTGCCACTTTTCAGTCTTTGATGAATAGGGTATTCAAGCAGCACCTCAAGAAGTTTGTACTGATCTTTTTTTATGACATTTTGGTGTACAACAAGACTGTGGAGGAGCACTTGGAACATTTGCGAGTGGTCTTCGAAGTTCTTCAGGAGCATCAACTGAAAGCCAACCTGAAGAAATGCAATTTTGCTTAGTCAAGCGTGGACTGTGGAGTACTTGGGACATGTGGTATCCCAAGGAGAGGCGGCAAACCAGACCAAAATTGAGGCAATGCAGAGATGGCCACTGCCTAGGAACATCAGGGAGTTGAGGGGTTTCCTAGGATTGACTGGTTATTACAGGAAGTTTGTGAAGGGGTACGGTACCATTGCATGGCCTTTAACTGAGCAGCTGAAGAAAGACAATTTTTGCTGGGGAGAGGCAAAGACCAAGGCCTTCGAGAGGTTAAAGGAGGCCATGACTATTGTTCCTATTCTAGCTCTTCCAGACTTTAGTCAGGTTTTTGTAGTAGAGACTGATGCATCAGGATATGGGTTGGGGGTCGTGTTGATGCAGAACCACAGGCCTATAGCATACTTCAGTCAAGTGCTGTCGACCAGGGCAAGACTGAATTAAGTGTATGAGAGGGAGCTGATGGCCATTGTCTTGGCTATTCAGAAGTGGCGCCCTTATCTGTTGGGTCGACACTTCATCGTTCAGACAAAACAGAGGAGCTTAAAGTACCTGTTGGAGCAAAGCATGGCAACTAAGAAGCATCAGCGATGGCTATCAAAATTATTGGGCTACGATTTCGAGTTTCAGTACATGCCAGGCTTGGAAAATAAAATAACTGACGCTTTATCCATGTGCGTTGGGGAGCTCCAAGAATTAGCTGTTTGTACCTTTCATGGTCGGCTGGGGAGCCATCAAGGAAGAAAGCATGCTCGATGAATATGTGGGCTCCGAAAATTCGGCCCCAGCCTCCGCTCGCTTTTCTTATTCGGCGAGGGAGTTTTAACTGAATAAGTTTCGAGGTAAATTTTAGAAGGCAGATGGGTTTGTAGATAAGACACTACCCAGAGATTTCGCCCTCATTTTGTGAGGACTTTATGATCTGAGTTCTGGTTTCCTATAGGCGCAAGCCCCTATAGTTAATTACCCCTCCCGATCACGAGAGAGAACTTTCGATTAAGGCTAGTCTTCGATCAGATACGTATAGAAATACGTGTTATCTGGCATAGCTTTCTTTTTGTTCTTTACACGTAGGTCAACAGAATAATTGAGAAAGATCAGGGAAGATCTGAGGAAAGACAAGAGTAGCCATCCTGGTTACTGCATTGAAGAGGAGAGACTATTGTATCAAGGGAGGTTTGTAATGCTTCGAACCTCCATCCATATTCCCCACTTGTTTCAGGAGTTTGATGGCAGCGTAGTTGGAGGCCATTCAGGAGTTCAGAA